AGAAAAATTAAATGAAACATCTTGCATAGAGTATAACCCAGAGAAAATGCTATTTGAAACCAATGACATGGCTGTGAAACAATCAGAAGAAGATTGTGAACACCTTACTGGTAAAGATGGAAATAATTTTTCGGAAAGTGACTTGTTACCACATCAAACTAAAAAATTTGATAGAGAAGCAACTATAAAATGTTACTCAACTCAGATGAAAATAGAACATGAAAAAGATATTTCTTCAAATATACCAAAAGACTATTTAAGTGAGCAAGAATACCCCAGCGATGAACAAATAAAGAAACAGCAGTCCCCAAGATATAAAGGAAACACTGAATTGAAGGAGAATATGATTGAAGAGAACTCACCGAAATGCACAGCTTCTAGGGAGGGCGAGACTATATCCTCCTCCCAACAGAGTACATGTAATATAGCAAACTTTTCAAAACCTAGGCCAATGGGAATTGCTAAACAGCAGTCACTGGTAGAACGAAGTGAGAAAACGGTTTCTGAAAGTTTACAAATGACAGAGCATGGAAGGGTTTCAGATCACATACAGTGGTTCAACAAGCTTTCTTTAAATGAACCAAACAGAACAAAAGTTAAGTCACCTCTTAAGTTTCAGCGTACTCCTGTCCGTCAGTCTGTTCGAAGAATTAACTCTTTATTGGAGTACAGCAGACAACCAATAAGGCATAAACTGGCGAGTTTGGGTGATACTGCTTCTCCTCTGGTTAAATCAGTAAGCTGTGACAGTGCTCTTCCCTCTTGTATTGAAAGTACATCACATGATTCCTCTGTTTCCTATGTGAAATCAGGTCCTAAAGAACAGAATTCTGTATCATGTCAACAGGCAACCATGGATGCGATTTCTTTCTCCATGATGAAGATGCACCCAGATCGAGAGAATGCTTCTTCCGGGTCTACTAGAGTTTGTAAACAGGAGGTGATATCTGATGGCCAAATTAAAGTTCCTTTGGATGACTTGACTAATCATGATACATCGAAATATGTCATAAGTAAGAATGCGGCGTTTTCTCCCGGCATAAATAAAAGGGTCCTTAGGAAACCCTCAGAAAGAGAACGGATCTGGTACAAGGGTTCTCCAAAAAATCCTATTGGAAAAGCTCACCTACTACCAACAAGTAAACCTGTAGACTTGTAATTGATAAATGTTATACTTGCCATGTAAATAGCAATTGGTGATAGGACTTTAAGAATAATCTACGTGTTAGTTTGTAGCTCAAGATGGTGGTTAAGCAATTGGTGATAGGACTTGCAGAATAATCTACGTGTTAGTTTGTAGCTCAAGATGGTTGTTAAGCAATACATTTTATCTCAAACATTTCGATTTCATCACTCAAACAATTTGGATTTTTATGCTTATGCAAATAACTATTTTTCTTTAATTATGGCAGTATTAGGACCTTTTAATTTTATTGCGACCTCTTAAAGCAGAGGTTACACTTAACCTTTTTAAAGCAACTGTTGACTAGATTTATAAGAAATTAGGTTTTGAAAATTGCGTGATTTTTATGTGATAGGAAGAATGGAGCAAATTGTGCCTATTTCCTGTTATTCCTCCAAGCCAGATAGGTTTTCTACAACAAATTTCTAGCATGTAAACGGAAGAAATAAACTCTACTACCCTTATGTCTTGGATTATATTAATGTTTATTGTCTTTCCAAAAAATCCCTAAGAATTAATTTGTGTCAATAACATCTTAATATTTGATTCCTATTTGGGGCAGAATAATTTGGTTCTTATTACCTGACAATGTATACAGTGTGTTTACTTGAACTAAGAACAATACTTAAGGCAGAATAATGACTAAAATGTGCTCATTTGTTATTATGCAGTAATAGCTGAGGATTTTAAAGCCATATTGTTTTTAAAGATAATTTGCACAAATACATTGATAGCTGTTTTGTCCAATATAAACATGGAAATTAAGGAGGAATAATGAAATTTGAAAAAAAAATTAATCAAGTTGATTATATGCAGATGCTTGATTTTAGAATTTGAAATAGTTGATATACCTCTGTACATTTTACTTGGATAAAAACCTATGATGATTTTGTCTTGTGTGTAAATGTTATTTATTTAGTGTAGACATTAAAGATAACTTCCTCAAAAATTAATTGCCTGAGACTCTAATGAAATTCAAAGTTCTACTTAGGACCAAACTTTCAAGCACATCTATTTATATTTTAAATCTTTAAGAAAAGAGTATTATGAATGATAGAACATATTTTCTGAGGTTTAGAGTAGGAGTAAGCAGACAGCCCAACCAGTAAGGACAGTTCTGCAGGGCGGTTGTTAGACTGCCACATGGGGGCTGGAGTAGAATAGAGCAGCATCGTACTCCACTCCTGCGATGCATCCAAATGGACAGTGTGGATGTGTGAGGAATTCCGAGTGACCAGGTGTTTGCTTCACCAGTTCTACTTGTTGACAGTATGTCTCCTTTATTTCAGAGCTATTTCTGCATTTATTACGTGGAATCAATCTTTCATCAAATTATTAAGTACCTGACTTTTACAAAGACTATAAAAAGCTGTAGATATAAACATGTTTAATATCAAACAGGTTTATGTAGTATAGACTAGATAAGCATGTTTATGTTATTTCTGATAGTACAGACAAAATATTCATATACTCTGCCATATATGTTATCTGGTTCAAAGCTTTTTTTTTAACTTTTGAATTTTTTTTAAAGAATAATTTTATTCTTTTTTTGGGGGGGGGGAGAAGTTTTTGCTACAGGGCGCGTGCGCTCGCCAAACAGAGACAGAAAGTGAGAAATCACCCCCCAGGGCGGATGGCCACTCCGCAATCCCTTCTCTGTTCTCTTGGGATCTTGGGCACACACGCACACGTGCCCAGCATGAGGTTTAAGCCACTGGGTTGGGACGCAAATCGCGGTCGACTACATGGGAGTCCAGCGACATAGCCATTATGCTAACTGCTGGTACCAATAATTTTATTCTTTTGAAATTTGCTATAGGGCAATGTGATTACCAGAGAGACAGGGAAAGTGAGAATGCAAACCCCCAGGGAAGATGGCCATGCCACAATCCCTTGTCCTTCATTCTCAGAATTTTGAGCACATGCATACCCGGCATGATTTCTTTCTTTTTCTTTTTTTTTGGGGGGGTGGGCGGAGTTCTTTGCTATAGGGCGCGTGCGCTCTCCAGAGAGACGGAGACCGAAAGTGAGAAATCATCCCACAGCGGAGATGGCCACACCGCAATCCCTTCTCTTCCATTCTCTCAGGATCCTGGTCACGCACGCACACACGCCTGGCATGAGTTTAAGCCACCGGGTCCGGGACTCAAATCGCAGTTGAATACATGGGAGTCCAGCGACATAGCCATTAACGCCAACTGCTAGTCCCCCCAACGTGACTTTTCAAGCTGCCGGGACTCAAATCATGGTTGACCATCTGGGAGTCTAGCACCTTACCTACCCTGCCACCTGCTGGCCTGAGTTTATTACTTTAATAGATTTTAACATCTTGTATTAAACATCTAATAATTCTGCTCAGGGAAAGGGCTTCAATTAAAGGAGTAATAAACCTTATGGTTGCTATCATTAAAAGTGCTTAGGACTGGGACCAGCACATGGAGTCCTGGACCCCGCGACTTAAAACTCACACTGGGCAGAGGATGCATGCGGGTCCAGTATCTTCAGAGAATAGAGAAGAGATTGCGGTGTGGCCATCCCCCCCCCCATCCCGTGTGTGTTTGTGTGTGTGTGTGTGTGTGTGTGTGTGTGAGAGAGAGAGAGAGAGAGAGAAAGGATTTCAACTTTTCTCTTGCCCTATAGCAAAAATCTAAGTTCTTAGAAGGATTTCAACTTTAGTCACTCCCACCATTGCCTTTTCACTCACTCTTCAAGCTAAAACACTTTCAAAGATACTCAACTGCTTTATTCTGGAGACAAGTGGCAGAATTAAAGGTGTGTTCAAGCTAAACTTCTGGAGACAAGTGGCAGAATTAAAGGTGTGGCTATAGTGTCCGTCTGGCACATTGTATTTAATTGCCTGAGAACGAGAATGGAGTCGAATCATTTCCATAGCGGTTGATGATGGGAGGTTAGGTAGTTAGAGGTTCATATGTGGAATGCGCATGTAGAAGCGCTGTGTGGCTCTCTAAAGGCCCTAGCTTCTGTGTTGCACTATGAGGAGTCCTGGCGAGGCCGCTTTCACCTGCTGGAGGCGGGGCGGGGGCGGAGCTGATGCGGAGGGAGGTGACACGAGTGATCCAGTCGCTTCGCTCCCGGGCAGACCGCAGCCGTCTCTCCTGCTGTCCTAAGGTAAGTGACTGCGTTGATGCAGGTTCGGCCTTCTGCAGGCCGGAAATAAGCGGGTCCTCCGGGATCCGGAGCTGGGGGGGCGTCCTACAGAAATCCTTGAGCAGGAGGCTGAGGTCAGACAAAGATTAGGTGAGAGATTAGGGGGAGTTGGCTATAAATACGGGGGAAGGAGTACAGATTGAAGAGATTGGGACTTCAGATCAGAACGTTGGCTGGAGTGGGAAGGATGTAGACATCCTTCGCGCAGAGCCGACATGGAAAGATGGAGGTGGATGGTATTCCTGGAGTCTCCCTCCAGGCTCTTCGTCAGAATTACCGTTTTTTTCTGTTGCAGCGAAAAGCTGTTCTCAGCTTTTGGGGAGCAAGATTTTATACGGAGAATGCGTAGAAAAAGCTTTTGTTTTTAATAGAAAGAAATGAATCTTTTGGTTGCAGAGAAGAAAATACATGGTTTTGCCTAGCAGCTCCCCACCCCACCCCCACCCTCACGTGGAAGCACCATCAAAAGAAGGGTTAGCATGGCTGCTGCCTGAAGCAGCCGTTCTAAACAGATGCAGCAGTTACAGGGAGAGCTGGCAAATTGTTTCCTTGTTCTGGGAAGTGCCTTGGTAGACGCCAACTCTTATGGCAGGGGGGGGCCCCCCACGAAGGCTCTTCCCCCTCTTCAC